TTTAAGAAGAGGCTTGATGACTACCTGGCTGGACTCATTTGAGTCCAGTTTTTTTCTCCTGCCCAGGTGGGGGGTCGGACTTGAAGATCTACAAGGTCCCTTCCGACCCTACTTCTATGATTCTATGACCTAATATTCCTTAATTTCATCTCATTACTCCCAGGAATACCTTCTTGTTCTGCTCTTAATATTTTCCTCCTATTCCATATGTAAGCTTTTCTGATACTCATAGACTGTTGCACTGTTTTCCAGCCCCTGTCATCCCATAGACAAGCTGTTTGTTTTTTTCCCCCCGAAGCTTGACTGTTTATTTTTTGCTGTTTGGTTTGGAAGACACTCATTTTTATATGTGTGCTATTGTCCCCAGAACTGGAGCTTCTAGCAGGAACAGCCAGGAATTTGGCCCTACATTTTGCTTGGTTGCAGCACCTGGGTAGCGTTCAGTGTAGAGTGCTCCAAATGAAAAGGGGACGCAGCTGGAGCAAGTGGTGTTCTCCAGTGATCCTTGCTTGCCAGAGTGGGCCCTGGCAACTAGTTGCAACTTGAATTATAACAGTGAAGTAATTGCTCCATAGTTAGGACTACAGATGATATAATATCTTATTGTCTTGGGGTTTTAGTCACACCCACTTGCCTATTAATCATGTTTTGGACTAAAATAAATGACAAAGTCTAGGCACTACACACAAAGTATAGAAAATGGACCCTTCTTTGTACCTGCAATTCCACTGACAAGGATGATGTGATAGGGACTGTAATTTACTACAATGCGTCAAGACATTCAGACAAAAACCTTCTTTGTCTTGCACTGTCTTGTCTCCATTCTTTTGCAGTTGCTGTACTTTTGCTTTGATTGAATCTATTCTTCTCCCTCTATCCATTTTGTTTGCAAAATCTTCCTCCACAGAAAATATTTGGACATGCAACTTGAAATGGAGAAGAAAACAGCACACTGTAGAAATAAAACCATATTAAATTAGGCCTTCACTGGAGATGCTGGGACTGAATTTAATGAAAAGAAACATGCAAGAACAAAGAAAGCTGTTTCAGTACTACTAGATGATAGCAGAATGCTGTTGAGGGAGCTTGGAAAAGGGATGAGGGCTTCTGTTGAAACGGGGTTATTACAAATGTATAGGTTTATATTGTAAGAAGACAACTACTATGAAGTAGCTAAAAATGTAACTAACAGAAGTCTGTGTCAGGGTGGCCAAATTGGCAAGTGTGCCACAAGTGGCACTGACAGCCTGCATATGTGGCACACAGAAGATCAGGGAAGGGACAGGCAGCACAATAGCAGGTTTGGCAGAAAGAGCAGCAGGTCAGGCACAGGAAGGTGATCAGGGTGCCCTCAGGAAGGGTGCACAGCTAATTTGTTGTACGGTTGGCCAAAAAGGCTGTTCACCAGTGATCTATGTTGATGGCAATGAGTTTGCATTGGAACTAAATCTACTGTCAGTTCTACCGTGATCTGCAGTTTTTCTGATGTTACAAGAACTGTCTGCTGAAATTTCTTTTGTGTGAAATCAAATTGCAATGATATGAATCACAACAGAACAAGAAATGTGCAAGACCCCTCAAATGCTGCTAATTCAGCCTCTGATCCTAGAAGTCAGTGGAGTCCACACAGGTGCAAAGTCTTTCTGGGTGGAATAGCTTGCGTATGAGGGCCTGAGCACACACAGCTGTCCTGGAACTTGCAAATGCTCTCCCTGGCTCTAAAGCAGGCCCTAGATACAAATTGCACATAAGAGCAGCTTTCCTTCGGTAGGGTCTTTTGAAAAAACCTCGTCCCAATCTCCTACTTAAAGATAATTTAAAAGCAAAAGGAGTGACTATTTGAGTCTCTCATTTAAATGGTATGATACAGACTTTGTATTTAGATAGACAAGAGTTTTCCATCAGAGCTAGAGATACATTATAAACATTAATTAGGTCTCATAATTCATCTTTATTAATGGGGCTAACTAGCCTAGGTCTAGGTCTGAGAAGGCCAAATGTTATAAATTATTCTGGGGAGGTGGTGGTAGGACACAAAATCTCTTGGCAGCTTCAATGGCCCTTTTTACTTCTGATGGGGCCTAAAGGTACATGAAAAATAAAAGAAAGGCTGGAAGGGACTTTAGGAATGAAGCTAACATGAGGGTAGACCCAGACCTGGAGAACTTCTCTTGTGCTACCCAGTGCATGTGTCTGCATAACACATTTACTGCAGTTGACTAATTAGCTCTGCAGTAAACATCTCAGCGTCTACACATGCAGTGCTATCAGGATGGAGTAAACTAATTAACTCTGCTGCAGGTTAGTACTTGTAAACACAAATACTATCCTATGGTGGTGTTTGTTTATTCCTCGGCAATGCATGTGTAGATGCTGATGGGGCTGGCTGGGGCATGATGGTGCTTCAGTGCAGGGGCTGCCTGTTAGCTAGTGCTACAAGGGCTGCCTCATGCCCCAGCTCCTCCGCAGCATGTTGAGCTGGGGTTTGTGGGGAGGGGGAGCAACCCCAGGCTGACATACCAGACTCCCTGCCAGCCAGGCTACTCTGACCTGGCTCAACATGCTGCGGTCCCAGCCTCACATTCAAATGCAGTGCCTGGGAGCAATAAATTCCAGCACAATATTTACTGGAGTTTATTGCTGCAGATTAATAGCACACATAGATGTGACTAGTTAGTAAGACATGCTCAGAATTCCTTGGGGATTTATTGGCAAAGATTTTCCAGCACCAGAACAGTTCTGTTTTGGGCTTCAGTGGCTGCACAAACATTTCAACAGGCCACTATGCACATTATTATTTTAAGAATGACTCCTATTCTGTTTATATCCCCTATGTATAATAGCTATGTCGGCCTGTATAAATGTTCTCGTTACAGACTAATTTTCTTGGCATATGTAGCAATCTATATGCTCCTAAACCAACTGCCTTGCTAACGTTGCCAGAATTCATCTAGATAAAGCTCCGTAGAAGTATGTGAAAACATTGACAGTAAAAGAGTTTAATGAGGTATGAATAATTATTACCATTCTGCACAGAGATGTACATGCATAGGTAGGACTAAGCTACTCTGGGATCTGGCCTACCATCATATTAAATCCCTATAGTATTGAACTATTCCTGTATATATTCTTTGTATATTTGACACAGCGGAGTCCTGACCTGGTGTGGGGCATGAGCCTTTGCTCTAACCACACTTATTAAGAATAGCAGATATTTCATTGTGTCAAGCTGTTTAACTGTGGGATCACTGAACTATACCTGGTGTCAGTGTCATGACAACAACTTTAAAGGGGATCAAAAATTATAGCAGACGTCTTGTCAAAAAAGCAACACGGAAAAAAACTGCCTGTGCCTGGCAGGAGAGAGAGACATAGCAGAGATGGTATCATGGAGCAAGCAGATTGGCAATGGGACCTGATGTCTAAAGAACATAGAATATACTTCCACGTGAGGTCACGTCTAGAGTGGAGCATTCCTAGCTCTAATGTGTTTATGGGGCCTCTCTAGTTCTGGCAATATGTGTAGCTTAGTCTGTTGTGCCATCTGAATTGAGAAATAATAGTGCTGTATCATCAGTTTGTGTTGCGGCACTGCACTGAGGTACACAGGCATATGAGGATATAACTTGTCAACACTAGTAATAGTAGAACCAATAATTTACTGATGTATCAGGAGATAAAGATGATGATAATGCTTAAAAAGCTCTGCAATAACATTAGTAGATGTCTCCCATTCCAACATATCCAATGGGAAAATAGTCTGAAACCTATTTTTATTCA